GAAGAAATGATGAAAAAGTACCATGATCCAATATTTATGATTTATTCCACACCTCACACCCATAATCCAATAAAATAAAACCCTTTCAGTCCCTGATGTGAACAAGGCATTATCTTCTCATGAAGAATTTTTGATGATATTTTACACATATGATAGAGGATTTGCACATTTTTACCCCAAATTATCTGATTGCTAAAAAGAATACTATCTGTCTTTGGCAATTAGGCAATTTGCAGAAATTCTCTGAAATATACATATATCATCCTTTCATCACTACCTTCAACTCCCAATTCTTTTGAAAATTCCCACTATGAAGAAATGCATTTTTTATTAAATATTCTCCTTCAAGAAATCTGAAGGAGTTGGAGAAATGTATGTTTAATGAGATTTTGAATGATCACTTGAACTCGGAGGAATAACTCCTTTATCAGAGTCATCTCCTGTTCTTTCAGGAAGAACTATGATCCTGGCTATTATCTGAATGTTTTATGGGCAGAAAATGAAAACTGAAGACAAAATAACCATGATTTGAGTCATAATCTGGTCTCTTAATTAAAATGATTTTTAAATTAGTAGAATCCTCCACCTCAGCCCATGTATAATAGTTGCATGAGTGAACTTCCTTCACATAAAATGACATAAAGGATCCTTTTAGCTCAGCACAGTTTGTACCATATGCAGAAAGTGAAAAATAAAATCAGAACCCAGGCATAAAAGTTTGTGCCTATTAAACCCATCAGTCTTGGAAGCTGAGGCAAAAGGATTACAAGTTTAAGTTCAGCCTGAGCAATTTAGTGAGACCCTGCCTCAAAACAAAAATAAGCAACAAATTTTAAGTCTGGGAATGTGTATCAATGTGCAAGTCCTGGGTTCAATCTCCAGTACCATCAATATCACCAAAGAACAGGGGGGAAAAGGAATGGGATCAGAAAAAGGTAGCTTGGAAATTTGCTTGCATGTGGTGGCTGGAATTTATTCCCAGTCTAAGAGTAAAGATTAGTGTTCTCAAGTCTCATCTACCAGAACCTCCCAGTCAGCTGGGCCTTAATGGTCACACGGACAGTGAGAGCTCCACAGCATCTCCTAACACCTGCTTCCCAGACTCAGGAGCTCAAGAAGAAGAGCTGTGATTGAGCCCCAGGAGTCCTTGGAACAGTGCCAGTAAGAGATTCTAACGCAGAAAGAGCAACATCATGAAGAGAGAGCCATGCATAGTCTGGCATGCCAATCTACGTGTGTCTTCCAGCCCCGAAGTGAATTCATCTAAGTATTTTTTTTTTCAGGAGACATCTCGACATTTCGCCACTCTTTGTGATTTTCACTTAATGATAGAAAAAGAATTCTAACCTTCCTTGGTATATTTATCACTGATGCGAAGAGTTGTCTGCTTTTATGCAGAGGTAAAGAGGTTTAACAGGCAGGACTATATGTGATAATGAATGATGATAAAAATAATATTGATGCAAGCTTAAAATGTGCTAGGCACCTTTTTAAGTTCTTGTTAGAAAATAAGTAAATTTGATCTTCATTAAAAACTCAGATACTCATTGCTATATGTATTATCATCTTTATTTTGCAGATGAGGAAATTGGAGCATGGAGAAGTTAATTATTTCTCTGCTGCTTTCTTAAGAAGGATATAAGGCCATCTTGCTCCATCTCTTTAAAAATGGCTATATAAAAAGTTTTCCCAAATTATTACATTAAATAAATCCTTTAATTGAAAAGACTTACTCACTGTAGAAAGTATATTATCATCCATTAAAATCTTAATATGAATTATTTCATCAGATTAGCTAGCAAAGAGCAAAGCCTTAATTAAGAGGAAGACAAATCATTTAAACTTTAGGAGAATTAAAAATTCAAGACATTTTTGAAAAATGCCTGCTCTTTGAGACCAAGGATGATGACTTTTATCTTAGCCTCTCCAGACTCTAATGAATCTCTGGATATCAAGAAGGTACTCAAAATTTTTACAGGATGGACAGGTAGGTGGATGGGTGGATGGATGGATGGATGGATGGATGGATGGATGGATGGATGAAGGAAGGAAGGAAGAAATTGTTATCTCCAAGTATAATTAGCTTCCATGAGTAGTCAGTGGGTAATAGGATGACAAGGTACGGATACAGGTGATTACAAATTAGGAAGAAACAGCACTGGTTGCTTTTAGATAGGCAAGTGGAAAATGCCTGCTCTTTGAGGCCAAGAGAAAAAATTGAGATCAGGGGAAAAAAATTCCTTCTTTAGCTTCCCTTTTGTACCTTTTGGGTTTTGTGTCTTTGGGCATAACTTGTCTATTCCAAAAACTAGTTTGTTTCAAGTTGGGACATAAAAGGACAAGGAGCCAGTGGGTGCTTTCTTTCTCAGTGGCCTGCTATCACTCTGCAGAGCATACTTTTTTCCTGCCTTCAAGAATTCTAAAACCTTTCTACCTGTTACTACCTTGTCTTATCCAATTCTTTGTTCAGGACAATAACATGCAAGAAATTTCCAGAAAGACAGCACAGCACCCCAGGAAACTTGTAACAAATCCAGTTTTCTGTTCATTTGAATCAATACATGTCCAAGTGGCCTTGTGTTTCTGGTCATATCTTCTTGTTCTCTACATGTATCTGATATCAAACACAACAGGCCTTCAACATTCTTCTGTTGAATGAAGGATGAAAACCACTTTGTCAAGACTGCAGAAAATTCATGTAGGATGGAAAAACCCATTGATCTTTTGCAAAACCTCCTGGAAAGACTCGGAGAAGGAGACTGCCAGCAAAAGGCTGCCCCACAAAGGAAAAGAGAAGTCACAGTGCTAAGAGACACCAAAGGAACCAGGATGCATGCACACGGGTGTTTGTATCTCTTATGTCTATGTACGCAGTCCATGAAACTAAATTATAGTCATGGGAATCTACCCTAAGAGCTGTTAACTGTGTTGGTTCTACACTGTGAGAATCAAATCTCCTGAAGCTCAAGTCTACTCTGGGCTCTGCCACGTCAGAGATTTGATTAAGACTGCTCCAGGAGCTTCTCTGGCTGACTTGATGGAAGCCCATCATAAAGACCACTAGGTCTTACTATCAGGTAATATATTCTTTTAATAGTAGAATGGCACGTCAATAGAGGTCTATTTAATTTTTTAAAATTCTATAAAGAAAATTTTCTTCATAGCCAAACATAGGATTGAGCTTTTATCTTTTTTATCATCTTATACTCTAGGGTTATGAATATTTTGTCCTTTAAGGTTTCATTTTGGTAATAGAGGATTCAGAGCTATATATAGAAGGATATATCCTGCTTATACAATATTGACTCATGGATCCCAGCTGCGAGGAATCTACTCCCCCTGTCACTAGTCCACTTTTTAACCTAGCCCATAACCTCAAACACTGAGAGAAACTAGCTCTGTTTTTCTCTTTCTTATACATGGTCTTGCTAAGTCTATAAATTACCCAGGCTGGATTCAAACATACAATACTCCTGCTAGTCTCTCAGTGTGCTGGTATTATAGGTGTGTGCCATCACACATCAGTTCATTAGGTCTTTTTATAAATATACTTGTAACTTTTATAAATCATCTTCCCCTTAAGTCATCTATTAGGTAATATAATATCCTTTTAAGAGTAGAATGATTCGGCAATAGAGATCTATTTAATTTTTAAAAATTCTATAAAGAAAATTTCCCTCAAAGCCAAATACAGGGTTGAGCTCTTTTATCTTATTTTTCTTCTTATGCTTCAGGATTATGAACATTTTGTCTTTCAGGTTTATTTTTGGTAATAGAGGACTCAGAGATATATATTGATTTTGACACAAACATGTTAATAAGGATGTACTACCAAAATAATAACACATATTAACTGGTGTATTTTCATGAACCACAGTTCACCAATAGGCATCAAAAGTCTTTCAAAATTATGCATATCATTGGCTGAGGGTATAACTTGATGTTAAAGTACTTTCCTGACACACATGAGCATTCCCCCTCCCTGAAAGCATATCTAACTACCTGATCATATTCTCTGTAGAATTTTATCAGAGGAAAATAACTCAAGGCTTGGACAATGGTGTATGAATAATGCAGGCTATTTATAATGGGACAAATTAGAAAATCTTTTCATGTCATCATATGGGATTTGTTAGATTAAATTATGCTAACTAAAATTATGGTTATAGTAGAAAAACATATATCAGCTTAAGATAATATACATACTATATGATCAGCAAACAGCCCAAGTTCTGAGTACTCTTGAGTTACTCATCTCTGTGTGCTCCTATGGTCTAAGTTTTAAAAAATTATTACAGTAAAAGACATGTTGCCATTAATTCCCACCAAGACACCCCCCTCTTCAATCACACTTACCCCATTTTTCTTGCACTTTCTGAAGCAGTTCTGTAAGTCCTTTTTTGTGGGTTTTTTGTTGTTGTTGTTTTGTTTTGTTTTGTTGTTTTTTTGTGGCTGCCTGAATGTCCCAAATGGATTCAAAACATTTACCTTGCATGGTTATTCTAATTCGGGGGAAGAACCAGAAGTTCTACAGTGCTACATCCAGTGAGTAAACTGGATGAAGATACACAGCCATGTTTTGTGAACTGCTTTTCTATTGGCTGCCACTCAGAGCTGCATCCACCAAATATTTTATCACACCTCAATCAAAGCAAAGAAGTAGTTCAAGAGGGATGATGGCAGTGTGCCCTTATAATTTGTATATTTTGATAACTTCTTGTATGAGCACAATGCTATGTTAGTAAACTTCTGTTTTTCTCCTGAAAAATCTGTCTTTTTGCCTGTCAAATTCACAAGTGTTCAGCAGAATGTAGCATGGCTAGAGGAATGAATTTCCTTCTCCTACAGCTGACCCTATGGTTGCATAAAACAAAAAAGCATAGAAATACTACACATAAAAATGTAATAGCAATTACTTTGGGATGGCAGAATTATAAGCTAATCGTATTCTTTTCTTATCCATGTGCTCTAACCTTTTAACAATAATCACATATGCTTCATTTGATTTTTTAAATTTTTTATTGTTTTGAAGGTAGTGAAATACAACAGAACAAGATAGAATAAAGCCAATTGAGATAGTGCAGTGAAATTGGTACAGGACGTCACATCAGGTTACCAGGATAACAGTAATAGGTACCATAGTATATCTCATTATCTTCATAATAATTGTTCTTTCAATCAGATATAGCAAAATCAAACCAAATACAGAACATTATAGAACTTAGCAAAGCAGAATATTGAATAAAGCAAAACAATTAATCAGAACAAAGCAAAACAGTGATAACAATACTGGCCTTCAAAGAGATGGTAGAAGGAAATCCCCCTATTTGTTATATTGCATATGGCCAACCTCCCAAGAGATGCTCAGACCTCTGGCTCCCATTTGCTAACGGTGGGGAGTGGGAAAATGGGATGTTTGATTCTCAGTCTGTGTGCCAGCAGGCTCATGGCTGCTTATCAGGGAGACAAGCAGGTTGCTTGGTTTCCCAGTGCCCTAGGTTCCAGCATGGTGTGGACCTCCGGAGATGCTGGCTGGTTCTCATCCTGGGGCGGCTGCCACTTGCCTGAGCCATGGCTGCTTACCAGGGAGGCGAGCGGGTTGCTTTCTTTTCCACTGTCCTCTAATTTTTTGAAAGGTAATAAAAACCCTACCAAAAATGAAGGCCAAGTGAAAACATACAAGACAAATATTACCCATTTCACAACTTTGCTGTGAGACTGACTAGACTGTACCAACAACATCCCATTCTACAAAATTTGACTTTCTCTATTAACCTGTTATTCCACTGTTACGTTTATTAGATCAGATAACAGAAGCCATGATCCAAATGAATTTCAGTATGCAAGGCCATGTGAAGGAAATGGATGGCCAAAACCCATCATGAGTCTATACAAAAGGCCTGGGTAGTGTACGATTAGTTGCTTTAAAGTTTTGCCTAAAACTGCAAAAGGGACCACTGCTAATTTTAGGCCACCATGTCCATAATGTATATATATAATTCCCAGAATTATTTCATTATTACTGTGATTACTAAAATTCTAAAGTATCGTGAATTTTCAAATACAAACAAAATGTGAGGCTTACCTACTTCCATTACCTCATGCTCTATCAGCCACTGATTACCGTGCAGTTTGGATTAATTCACTCAACTTCTCAGACCCAATTTCTCTTATATGTTAAAATTTAACTCTCCAGTCTGGCATTTTACCAGGTCATGGGGATGAATAGAAGTAACTGGGAATGTACATTATAAATAAAACTCCATACACAAATATAAAGGCACAATTCTTGCTTTCTGGAAATGGACCTAGCGTCCATTTACAGAGCTGTTCTAGAAGATTCCAGTCCAATGTTCTTTCCCCTGTGCTTCTTTCTATGTAATATTACACAGAAATAAAAGCTCTTCCAAAGAATTAAAGCGCATAGAAGACCTTTCCAGTTGATAAGTCACTGTTTTCAGGTAACTCAAAGCGGTCTGCCTACTTTGCTCCCTGTACTGTATGTCCATCATGGTCTCTTTCCCAGCTATGCACCATGTGATTTTGAACGGGTACAGTGGCCTAACCAATAATCACCTTCATAATTACAAAATGAAGATAGCAATGCTCCCTTCCTTATCTACAGGCTTACAGTGTAAGAATAAAGACAGTATGTCAAGGCATTTCAAAAACACTAAAGACTGAGAGCTTTATCATTGCCTATGTTGTTCATCCTCATGGAAAGCACCACTATGGCAGTGAATTTCACTTGTTTTATTTTTTATGTGCTCCAGCACTTAGAATAATGCCCACCATAGTTGGTTTTCAATATATATTTGTTAAAAATGAAATAATAAATATAAGAACTATACACTGTCACCAGTATTATGCTTCTAATTATTCATAAAAAACTTAAGGTCCAAAGCATAAAGTATCAATTTTGTGTACATTCTCATTAATGTGTAATTTTTGTCTCTCAATTTACATTACATGTTAGGGAATAATTTTCCTCTTAAACAAACAAAAGAAACAGAACATTTTAAAAAGTGTCTCGGTCTTTGATCAGTTGTCTCTATTCTCTGAACTAATTAACTAATTTTACTATTTAAAAATAACATCTAGTACAATAATAAAATAGATTTTTAATTTTAAAAATTAGATGCTGCTAAGGCAGGAACTGAAAAGTAGTTTTTGAAAACTATCTCTCTACATTCCTCCCTTTTTATTGGTTTCAATTCATTCTGAAAAGTCATTCTATCACATCCTTGGATAAATATAGGACCCACAGATTTGCACTTTTCTCTTATTTCAGGTAAGTTTTGAATGCTTAGACCTGTTCGCCATTAGTACCCTTCTGTGGTATAACTAATTAATCTCTGTTGAAAATAAATAAGCTGAACTAGATTAGAATGATGTATACCTGCAATTCTAACTATTTGAGAAGATGAGACAAGAGCATTTGCAAGTTCAAAGCCAGCCTGGGTAACTTAGCAAGATTTCATCTCAAAAAAGGATGGAAAAAAAAAAACCCTTAAAATTATTTATAACTTATCACACTCAGTATATGTAATAATAAGCATTATAAACATCTAAATGTCCAATAATTAAAAGTTGATAATTTTAAAAAACTATAATGTTAGGGGGGAAAAAAACACATCTAGAAGCTAGCCAGTTCTCATGGGCACAATTCTTCATGCATGCAGTCATAAATTTAATTTATAAGCCACAAACATTGTGTCACTTGACAGTCGACCGGCACAAGAACAAGTAAAATCAGAATACATTTATTTTGCAAATTAGAAAGTATGATCCATCAGTTTAAGGGGTCTGCCTGTGGACAATCCTGGCTGGGAACTGTGGCACTCAGAAGCCTAAACAGGCCACAGAGCGCCATGCCCCAATAAGCACATCCTGCATAATCAGCTCCCCTCAAGTGTGAAGGGGACATGTGATTATGACAAGGCATTGCCATGATTATGGCACATTACATGACAGAAGGGACAATGCAGATGGATTTAAGGTTCCTAATCAGTTAGCTTTAAATTCATCAAAAAGGAGATTATCCTGGTTGGGCTTGACCTAATCAAGTGAGCCCTTAAAAGCAGTTTGAAAAATTCAAATTGATCAAGAAATTCTGGAGAAAAAAATGGGGGGAAAACCCACATAGTGTGTCATGGAGCACATGATAAGGTATGATATGTGGTCTCCAGGGGCTGAATCAGCCTCTACTTGAAAACTATTAAGAAAGAAATTACTTTAGTCCTACAGGTGCACGAAAACGAATTCTGTCCATGTAAATAAGGGAGTCTGGAAGTGGATGTTTCCTGAGTTTAACCTCCAGATAGAAGACACAGCTGTCTAAGACTTATTTTAGCCTTGTAAGACTCTGAGCTGAAGATCTGGTAATCAGTGCCCAGACTCCTGATCCATGGACATTTTCAGATAAATTCATGCTATTTCAAGCCATTAAGTGTGTAGCAACTTTTTACTCAGCAAGAAAAGAAAATTCACACAATGATGAAAAATATTTTAGGACCAAGTTACTACCTGGTGGTTAGTTTTCAAGTTCGGTATATTTTACGCTCTATTTCAGTTCTATTGTTCTGAGTCAGTCTTAGCATAAATACAAGTAGTGATGCACATTTCCCCATCTCATACTCTTCAATCAAATCAAAAATAAATACCAAACAAATGTGTGAGTCTCTCTCCTTTGCTAACCTGGAAACTCCTTGGATATATCCAATTCTCAGTGCTTTAGGATTAAAATAGTTACTAGCAGAAAGCATGAAATAAATAAAAGAAGGCATAAGTGAATAAAGTCTTTCCTTACTAAAGTATTTTTTGCAAAAATTATAATTGCATGAAAACAGAGGGGGAAAGCTATATGTCTGCAAGAACAAGAAAAGCAGTTTCCATCCTCTGGAATAAATTTACAGGACCACTCCAAGTGACAAGGGTATCAGACAAGCTCTGAGTCAGGAAATTTTGCATGACACATTCTGATACCATGCTGCTTGCCATTCTGATTTCCTAGGGGAAAAAGAGAAAGTTCACAAGTGCACCCAATTGCTGTCAAATCAGCCGCCCTACTCACAGCCCTCTGTAGCCGCTGCTTCCGGCTTTCAGTCTCATTAGAGTGAAAGGGCACTGCTTCTCATTTGTCACCTTCACAGGCAAATGTTGGTCTCTGAGAAATCAATCCAACCACACATAGAGTAATTTTTCAAGACAGTGATATTCAGTAAACATTGCCATAGGATGCAAAGGCCACATTTCCAGAGTCTTCATGGAAGAACATAGAATCCTTTCTCCTTCCACTGGGAGAGCACAGATCCATCAGGTCTCCCCTCAACAATCACTAGAAACGATGCCTAACATGATAGAAATCCAGTATTCCCTTCTTCATTAACCAAGTTCGTGGTGCACATAACAGGATGCAGAGATGATCAAAATTGCCCTTCCTTTCCCCTACATTATAGTGCATTTGGGGAGAAAGTGAACACAGACTCATTTGCCAAGATGACTGCAATAGCCTCAAAGTTGATCTTCCTCTTCCAGTTCCCATATTTTAATCTACTGAGACATTTTTCTAAAATTCGAATGGAATTTGATCCTGTGCACACCCTGCCCCTCTATAACAAAAGCAAGCACTACCTTCAGTTCTTTCCAAGTTTTAGATAAAGCCTGGACAGCCCAGAATGAGTTACAAGGCTCTATTAGTATGATCTCCATAAGCCCTCCAATCTCTGGCACCTTGCACTCAGCCCTGTACCAACATTCAACTTTCTTGCAAGTCTGGAGACTCTTCTGATTCATCTCACAAGCTATTTATCCACTGAAAATATTCTCCCTTCACCTCGTTTACCTTATTTTAAACTAGAGCCATTCCCACAGATGCCAGCTTAGAGTCATTTCCCTAAAAGCTCTCTCTGATTCACCCCAGGTGGGACAGGTCACTTTGCAAGATGTCTTCCCTCCTCCCCAGTTATTAAGGTACTCAATACCCTAATGCAATTGCTTATGTATGGTTCTTTCTCCTTTGCTAGGCTGGATACTCCCTGCCTATATCCAATTCCACACTTTAACATCAAAATCATTTTTGGTAGAAAGCAGTAAATAAATATTGTTGAATAAAAGAAGAAAAGGATAAGTGAATGAAGTCTTCCTTTACTATTGTTGAAAACTTATTTTTGCATATTGAAAGCCTTCCAGAACAAAGTGTTAACTCAACTTTTTTCATTCTGTTATATAATAGCCACAACAATCTGCAACATCCAGTCAAACTGAAGCACCCATTATTTTCAATTTGTGTTCCAAAGAGTTCTACCTGTGTGCCTTGTTCACATTATCCCCTCAGCGAGGATACCCATGTACCAGAATCCTACTTTCAAGACATTTCATCTGTAAAGACTTGCTTGATTCCCCTGATGCAGAATCTGTTGTCCTTACATGACGTATACGCCTTCTATTCAGCACTTTAGAGATTTGGTGTTGAATTGTTTATGTGTCTGTCTCTTCAAATGAAGAATAAATCCCCTAAAGACAACAACAATGTTTTAGTCATCACAGAATCTGAAACGTTTCCCAATAAATATTTATAGTATTATACAATGTAAAGTTCACTTTCTGCAAGATAATTGTGTAATTTTAGAGTTACAAGTATAAGAGTAACAATGGTATTAATTTGAAATAATGACAATATAATGATATAACAACTTCTAGGCACAAAATACATGAATCTCTGGTTTAATAATTTATATTAATTGCATGTGACATTCAAATTTGCATAGTGTATATCAGCATCTACATGTACAGATGAAGAAACTGAAAATTAATTTACAAAGATGACTGTATTGGTCAGTTTTCTATTGGTGAAAACACCTAGTATCCATAATTTAAAGGAAAAAAGTTTGTTTGGCTTACAGTTTCGGAGGTTGTAGTGCACGACTGTCTGACTCTAGGGAAGAAACATCATGATGGAAGGATCTAGTAGAGGAAACTTGCTCAACTCAAGGCATCTGGAATGCAGAGTAGGGAAAGAAAAAGAAGAGGGAGCCAGGGGCCAGATATAGTGTTAAGGGTGATACTCCTATGATTAACCTCCTCCAACTGGACACACCTTCTAATAACCCACTCAGCTATGATTTCGTCAGTGGTTACCCAATTGATTAGGTTAGTGACTTCAGAATCCCATCACCCCTCCAACAGCATCTTTATCCAGTCAAGTAAGCAGTCAAGATGAACTGCACATGGATGGAGATCATAATAACCAAATGGAAGACTCAAGATTTGATTTAAGGCTTTGTGGCCCAAGTCCCTTGCCTGTTCCATTAATAATACTCTCTCTTTGGTCTCTATCTTGCAATACGTCTTTAAATGTTTACCTCACTTCAATAACTTAAGTCTCTAAAGTGAAGCCAGCTTTTCTTTTCCCACAAGGTTCTTTTGTGCTAGAAAGTTCACAAAACCTTTTCTGTCAGTAGTACAGCACCTGCCTGGCAAGTGCGAGGTCATGAGTTAAAAAAAAAAAAAAAAGAAAAAAAAATTAGGGAGTCATGCTTACTCTAGCTGGCAGGCCACAAATTATCAATTGTCTATTACAGAGAGTTTAGTCCCTATTATATATCTAGTACATATGCCTATGGATGGTATCCATAACCTGGAGAACTCTAGCATGGACCTACATTTCCAAAACCTGTTGTAAAATAAATCACTGTGGACTCACAGTAACTGAACTATAGTATGAATTCTTTGAAATGAAAAGTTAAAGGAAAAAAAGGAGCCATAATAGGAGATGTAATAATATCTGAGAGGTGAAGCTTGGCATTTTATTACACCCTGATAAGTAATTTCCCAGTTGCCTAACACTAAACTAATCATTTCATTATCTAATTTTATTCTTAAAACTCTACATGTTTAATGCTGTTGTGTCCAATGTAGAAGTAGAAACACTGACACTCAGAACTATTGAACACTATTGCATGGTCATGGAGCTAAGAAGTGTAAGATCTTTAATCAAACACAAATCTATCTCATAATAATTCAAATACATTTATTCTCATATCTAGATATCTGTACTGCAAGCATTGCCTAAGCTCATGTCTAAGGAGTATTCCTAGAATTGCTCTCTTTCTGCATAAGTACTTACAACAAAACAAAGAGAGCCCCCAGGCACATCAAGTCAAATAACTTCTCATCCCAAGGTCTTTTAAATCCCACAGCTACTCTCCCAAGCATCTGGGTGTTTGTCCCAAATCCTGACCTATTTCCAACTTGTGTAATTACACTGCTTCTCTAATTGCCTTTGGGTGTTCTGCTAGATGAAACCACTGCACAGCCCATCTTCAGCCACTAAACAAAGTTGCTAGGCAGCCATTAGACAGCTGTTTCTATCCACCAGAAGAGATAGATACATATCTAAAGGGAATGAAAATATTCTTTCAGACTTTCACAACTTAAAACAACAGAAAATTGCCTGAGAGTTCTTTTAGGGGACAAAGGTCCTAAATTTTTGAAGATGTGCACTTTCAATAGATTAACCCAGAGATCAAACTGTAGCCTTACAGAACTACTGAATTATTACAGTTTTAAAAGCAAATAATTCTTTTGGAGAAGAGATAATCATCCTTATTCCCTTCCCAAGCTCTTTTTCACTATTTTTAAATTCTATCATTTTTATCAAAGTTATTCTAGCAATAAGTGGAAAAGTTAACTGCTCAGTGCAGGAAATAATCATGCAAAGAATGAACCTCCATCACTTACAGAGTCTAAACAAAAGCCAAGTCTCAACTTTTAGACACAAAGTCTCTTCTAACTAGAATGTTTCCCATTTAATTCAGACCAAAAGCTGACCAGGAACAGATGACTGATCCTACAGGTCTTCAGATGCACTGAAATGATAATAGCAACACTAACATATATTGGGCTACACATAACAGATAACTTTTGTGTCATCTCATTGGAACTGCAGTAAAATTCAATGAAATAGTTACTACTATTGCCAACACTTTACAAGTAAGCAAATACAACCTCAAAAAGTTCAAGGTGCTTTTCTGGCGCCCCATGCCTGGCAATTCTTGGAACCAGGACTCAAAACCAGTATCTCAGACTCTAAATGTTCATCCTTTATTTGTATTCTATGCTATGTCCATATATTCTCAGTACTGTGTTTCCTTCTTGGAAAAATTCCAGGGTCTTGCCCAGAATGGGGACATGATTCATTCTGCCAAAGAAAGCAGTTCTCAGAAGTGAATTGCATACTTAACTGTTAGGGAAAAAAAAGTTTCTGAAGATGAAATGAATAATGAATAATCAACTGAAAGAAGAATCCAGTTTAAGAAGGCAAAAGCACACCAGGATCTAAAAGATTTAACACACTTCTCTTTTGAAAAGAAAATGAAAAGAAACATGGAGGTCATTGCGTCCAACTACCTCTTTGAAAAGATAGGAAAAAAGGATGTTGCTTTAATGACACAAATATGATAGCATTATTGAAGTGCTTCATAATTGTCAGTATTATCATTGCTAGTGCTAGTTCTAATAGTCATAGTATTAGTACCAATAGTAGCGATCCAAATGCTGTGACTTCACTGAAGAATGGGAGATACCTGGCTTCAGCTATTTCACTGTGTTCTCTAGTAAATAGACGTGAAAACATGCACTGGCACTTTTTATGTAATAATGAAATCCATGACTACAGCACATGCAAGGCAGTGTTTATGGCAACACCCACCCTCACATACACACAGACACCCTCTCCTCAATCTTTTGTTGAATTTTCTTTCAGTCTTGTATTGTTATCTAAGTGCATTTATTTATTATTTTGGATGTTTACTATTAGTCCTCTATACACGCTATGTAATGTAATATCTTTGAAAGTGTTATGGGTTAAAAACTGGTGGTCAATTTAGTGCCAGCCAAATTAAATCAGCATGTGCTGAGAATAGATGTTCCACCTGAGAAAAGTTGCCAGCATAAATAGAGACATGGAGAAGAAGAGTGAGGTGTTGTGGGTTCCCTTCATGTTGCTGTTTGAACCATTGGTTCCTCTAGAGAAGCTCATCATGACTACTTCCCCAGTGTGAATTGGACCACTGTCATTGGAGGAGCTCGGGACCTTGTTGGTAAGAGTGGCTGTGGTTCACTTTGGGGAGCTCTGGTCCCTACACCGAGCATCACTTCCTGGCTCCAGAAGGGATGACATGTGCCATTTAATCTCCAAAAGAAACTCATCATGCTGGCTTCTTGGCATGTACTCAACTGTGCTTACCATTGGAGGAGCTTGGGATTCCATGTTGTTGAGGATGACCATGGTATTTTTCAGGGAAGTTTTGGTTCTTATTTTGAGCATGACTACTCAGTTCCAGCATAGAACCCTCAATCTACCAGCACAACTCCTTCACCTTGCTGGCATAGACTTTCTAGTTTCCACTGCTGACCTTTGGGCCTTCCCAGTGCAGATCCATAAAACAGACTGGCATGAGCCCTTCTCGTGGGCTCTAGATCTCCAATTGGACTTGTGGGAGGCATTGTCATGAGCTCTAGGTTTTCATCTGGATTCATGTGGGACATTGGTGTTAGTGCTGTAGACAGATTTCCTGCACTTTCTTGTGTTAAACTCTAGATGACCATCATAAATAATAGTATAAATTCTGTGTCTTGATTCTAATTGTTCTCTTCACAACCCCTGACTACAACAGGGAGCATGCATCATATCTGTCATGGGTATCACTATATTTTGTGAGCTGTCACAATGCTTTCTGAGTAAGTGAGAGAGGATGTCAGTGACATGAATCTGTTTAAGTGCATAAATAATGTTATCTTTTGTACAGAGCTGTCTGGAGTAAGATGGATTCTATAGCAACAACAATAAGGATAGGAAGAACCTGTATATATTCTTACATGTTACTATTATGTGATGTGTGGCATAATACATTTTAATAAATAAAACTTCTAAGTAGCATACACCCTTCTCAGCACCTAGGAAACAGAAAAAAGAACAGCCCTGACCTTTGTCCTAGCATGTTCTGTGATGAAATTAAATGTGGACATTACTAATATTCACCATTTCTTGGTTCACGAGTTGAAGGAAGCTTGGTTTTTCCATATGATTTTTTAGTAAAACCAGCAAAAGACCACGTTTTAGATATTAGACATTGTCTTAGTCCTGAAATAGAAGGGATCTTGGGCCTAAGAATCTATTCTTCAAGAGGATCAATAGTGAAATGAACAGCAAAATCTGTAAGCAATAGATAGCTCTTTCCAGAAACACGTGACTGGAATTACAATAGTCCTTGCATAACAGGTTTGCAACTGCACCTGATAGAAAATACTTCATATAAAATCTTGAGAAGAAAATTTTAGTCACATTATGTTAAGATGCCATTGCCAAAATGTAAATATTGTAAACTGAATGTTCTAGGGACATGGAAGACAATGAGATAATTACTACAAAACCTACTTCCAAAAAGTCAGAGCACAGCTTGAAAACCAGAGGGGGAAGGGCAAACTGAGACAGGGAGTGCACAGGTGTGAATAAAGGTAAAATGCATTGCTTCTGCCATCTGGAGGGCTCTCGCTAAAGTGTCTCATGTTAGATTCCCTGATAACTATCTTGAGTTCTCAGAGCTAAAATATCTCACATATAAGTAATTGTTTGGGGGTCTTGGGGCTTGGGGAAGTATAACCTGGATGCACCGATAAGCTTCCAACCATGGTACTTCAGTGTTTTACATTTACCACCAAGCTTCTGCACTTCAGTCTTCTTATTCCCTGCCTAATGTGACAAGAAAACTATTCACATCTGATATCAAGAAAGTGTATAAAGATTGGTCCTTCAAGATTTTTTTCTGTTTTGGTCTATATAATATTTCACGTGCATCAAAATTAAACTGGACATGGTGGTGCAAACTTACAATTGCAGCACTCAGGAAGCTAAGGCAGGAAGATTGTCATGAGTTTGAGGATAACCTGAGCTACATAGCGAGCTGCTGTCTAAAAAACAAAAAAGTGTAGGCAC